GAATTCCAGTAAAGATTTCCGGATTGAGAGCTCCGAGTGGAGAATTCCCAGCTGGAATCTCCGGGAGTGTCCGAGTTTGGGATTTCTCCTGCTGGGAATTTTCCCCCCCGATTAAAAACCGCCCCGCGCTCACCCGCGGAAGGGAAAACACCGGAATATTTGCACCTCAAATTCGGGATTTTAGGATTAATCAACTCCAAACTCTTCCCTGTTTTTCGTATCCAGGAAATTCCTGGAATAATTTAACCCCTGAGCTGCCGAATTCCCGTAGCCGTTATCCCCAAAATCCCCCAAAATTTCGCTTTTCCCTCTTTATTCCACCCTAAACTCAAACCCAACGCAGGAATATCGGAATGTTTCAAATTATTCCCTCCCCAAACAAAAAAAAAAAATTTTAAAATATTAAATAATACGAAATTAATAATACTTACTTATTAATAATTATAAATAATACTAAATATTAAATATTTTTATCCCTCCCCTCATCCTTTCCCGGGATTCCTCGCTGGGTTTGGATATTCCCAAGAAATTCCCTGGATTTTTTTTTTTTTTTTTTTTTTTCCCCCATGCCTGGGGGAGGGGATGGCAGCGAAATTCCAGCTGCCTTGCAGCCCGACCTGCTGGGCGCTGGGAATCACTGCAAGCTCCATCCCGAAGATTTTTATTTTTTTTTCCCCCTTTTTCCCGGCGTTTTTAATTGGATTTATCACGAGGAATTATTAAAAAAAATAATTTTAAAAAAAAAATGATCCGGGAATGAGGGGAGAAAATGAAGCTTGGATAAAAAATGTGGAGATTCTGTATGGGATTTTTTTTTTTTATTTTGGGGAGAGGGGTGGATGGAATAGAAAAAATGGGATTTGAAGGCAAAAAGTTTTAAGATTTGAAGGCAGAAAATTAGGACGTAAAAGCAAAAAGTTGTAAGATTTTAAGGTAAAAAAAAATTCAGGATCTGCAGGCAAAACATTGAGATTTTTAAGGTGAAAAATTAGGATTTGAAGGAAAAAAAATTAGGATTTGAAAGCAAAAAGTTGTAAGATTTTCAGGTAAAAAAAAAATCAGGATTTGAAGGTAAAAAATTAGGATTTAAAAGCAAAAAGTTCTACGATTTTCAGGTAATAAATCAGGATTTGAAGGCAAAAAAATTAAGATTTTTCAGGTGAAAAATTAGGATTTGAAGGCAAATTTTTCAGGCACTGGCAGTCTGAGGAAGTCAATAAGCTGAAAAAGTTGGGATTTTAGGGAAATATAAAATTATCCAGACCCTGGAATTCCA